CACCTGCCACCAAGCTGAGTGGATAGTAGCTTCTGTGTCCCTGTCTGGCTAGCCCCTGCCTCTGAGCCCAGAGGCCTATGCCAGACCTGGGCACCAACGTCAGCCGGCCAAGGGAAGCTGGGGAGGGCGCTGCAGGGCCCTGGGCCAGGGTTGTGAGTGGAAGGAGCAGGACGCGGGACAGGGTAGCAGGATGGGTCCCAGGTAAGCTGGAGAGAGAGCTTATTAGGTTGGGGATGAGCAGAGGCGCCTTACCAACGCCCCCGGGAATGAACGGGCTAGCCACACTGTCCCGTGGGATGGTTCGCATAGACAAATGGAGCAGGTTGTGGTACCTGAGCTCCCTGGGACCACGCACAGAAGGCTGTGATCACGTAGCTGAACAGCGCTGTCCACAAGGTGCTCTCCAGGCGGCCCCCGTGGGAGCTGCAGGGTTCAGCGTTTGCTCCCCATGGGGATTTTCAGCGGGGTGGGTCCCTCTGTGGAGCTGGGGTTGTGAAACGCAGCCTGGCCCTGCATCCCCCAGATCGTGGTGGCTTGTGGCGGGTAGAGGTGACAGTGATGGAGACGGAGGGCTTGGGGCCGTGTTCGCTGGACCCCAGAGTAGGAGTTAGGCCCCGCCTTTCCTGCCTTCCATGGGTGTAGCGTGGTATCCAAGCCATGGCCCGGCCTGGACTTTTCTGCCGAGGAGTGGACATCAGGTGCCCTGGCCCTGCCCACCCTGCCACTCCTTCAGCTTGTTGACCAGGAAGTGACCAGAGCCTCCCCAGCCTGCAAACCCTTAGGGCTCCCGGGGCCCAGAGTCCTCAGGGTGACTGTCCAGGCCCCACCCCCACTTCCCTCTCCTGCCCTGTGGCCTCAGCTTCACTGGCCACTAATGTCACTAGCCAGTGCTGTGAGGTCTGGTGTCAGCGGGCAGACTGTGAGGCTGGGGCTTGGTGGCTGAGCTGTGGTGCCCGGGTCAGTGGGTTCAGAGGGCAGTAGGTAGCCCTCGCGGGCGCTGGGGCTGAGGTGAAATGGACCGCCCCAAAGCTCCACAGAGGGCCCCACCTCTGATGAGCCTGTGTGGTTGGTTTTTCCGCTCATGGGGTGCATGGCTATTGACGGAAGCAGGACTTCTTCCCTCCATAGTTCCTCACCTGGGGAGGTTGTGTCCTGGGAGCCTGGCGGGCCCTGCTCCCGACGACGTCAGGCCCTGGGTTACTGTGGCTCAGCTGGCACGGGGTCCAGAGTAGAGCCCACAGCAGACCCCAGGGGAGGGGAGGGGAGGGGAGCCATCCCCTGGGCAGGCCTGGGCAGGGCTGTGGGGGACATCTGGGTGTGGTTTGGCCTTTGGCTGCCCAGAGCCTTTGGGCCCTCCTGGTAGGGTCCCCGGTGGGGCAGGTTTGACTAGGCCTGGCGTTGGCCCTCCCCTACAGGGTGCTGACGGAGCTTGTGTCCAAGATGCGGGACATGCAGATGGACAAGACGGAGCTGGGCTGCCTGCGCGCCATCGTCCTCTTCAACCCCGGTATGGCTCTGTCCTTGCAGCCTCAGACCTGGGCCCCCAGCCCAGCCAGGGCCCCCGGCCTTCTCTTACTGAGCAGCCTGCTGTCCTCAGCCCCAGTGTCCTCCTTACACAGAAGAATGCCCCCGTGCTGTCAGCTCATCGCGAGGGCTGCCAGGTGGTTCTTGTGCACTGTAGCCCTGGCCACGTGGCCCGATGCAGGCGCGTTCTTAGCGGTTCTGGGGACGCCCTGGCAGTGCCTTCCAGGCTCTGCTGTCGAAGTGCCTTCCAGGAGAGCAGGGAGTCCTGGCCAAGAGGACGCCAATTCAGCTCAGGAGTTTCCAGCGCTAAAGTTCTGGAACCAGAGGTGTCCTAGACCTGTTGGGAGTCACAGGGCATTTCTGGGGGTCAGTGTCCCAGGGTGGGGGACGGAGTGGGGGCTGGGGACCGCAAGGCCGGAGCTGAGGCTGGCTGCCTGACAGCCGGGAGCTCCTGTGCCTTGGCCTTTTCTACTTTAAAAGCCTCCGAGGTGTTGCTGCCCCGCCCAGCGGGACTCAGTGCTGCCTGCTTGCCGGGCACTGTGCCAGCACAAGGGCACCTCTGGCCAGCAGCCGGGCAGGGCCTGCTCTGGGGGAGCTTGAGGTTTAGAGGGAAGTGCCACCCACAGCCAGTCGCAGGAGGGTGGCATGGTCTGCGGTGCTGCCTCCAGCGAGCGGGATTTAGGAGATGGCCGGGGAGAGAAGGGTAGGCTGGAGGGAAGCAGACCACCTGACAGGGCCTGCCAGCCTTGCCAGTTCTGGGCCTGGGAGCCAAGTGTCGGGGTGGAGGGAGCAGTGTGTTCTGGGTCTGGAAACGCCCCTCACTGTCTGCTGGGGGGGCGATGGGCAGGACAGAGGGGCCGGTGAGGGGACCTGCAGGGAGCTCACCTGGGCTGTAGCCAGGAGGGCCTGGGCAAGGGTCTGAAGGACCAGCCACGATTGGTGCCCCTTGGAGCACCTGGTGCCAGACCCCCTGGCCTCTGGCCGGCTCCCCAGGGAACAGGCTGTGTGGATGTGGGTGTCCTCCGGGAGAGAGCCTGTTTCCAGGGATGTTTTGTCACCCAGGCTGTGCTTCCTGCCTGTCCTGCCAGCTGGGGAAGCTGTCACCTCTCAGCCCGGCTGGCAGATCCCACTCAGGTCTGCATGGCTTGGCACTGGCCTGCCAGCGAGGCCAGGCCGGGGGCTGTCGGGCAGGGAAAGGAGACTGGCTGGAGCCTGGGCAACGGAAGAGCTGGATGTGTTTCCAAGGAGCCCGGGACTCTCCATGGGCCACCGGTGCCCGGCAGCTTTGACGACTGCCACTCAGTGTCTGTCCAGGCTGGACCCCCCCAGGGACCGAGGCCAGGACTCCCTGGGCCCCAGGCTCGGAGGAGGGCTTCTGGACCTCACCCAGTGGGGTCTGCGTGTTTCTGGGGGTAGTGGGCGGCTTCCGTCGGTGTCAGGGAGGCTAGGATCTGAGTACAGCAGAGGCTGGTAGCCTCTCTCCCAGTTACCGTGGCACCAGGGGGCAAGCAGGTTCCTAACACTTGACAGACAGGGAAACAGTCCAGAGGGCCAGGTTTGGAGGGCTGAGGTCACATGGCTGGTAACCAGCTCCTCAGGGGTGCCACACTTGTCCGCAGGAGCTGGTGGGGCACACTGCCGGCTTTCCCCAAAGCATGGTGCTCGCAGGGACGTTTCCATGGGCCCCAGGCTCATGAGACGCCCAAGGCCTGCCCACCCCGGCACGGGGCTCTGACCAGCACTTCTCTCTGCAGACTCCAAGGGGCTCTCGAACCCGGCCGAGGTGGAGGCGCTGAGGGAGAAAGTGTACGCATCCCTGGAGGCCTACTGCAAGCACAAGTACCCAGAGCAGCCAGGGAGGTGAGGCCCTGCAGGCTCCTGGCGGACCCCGGGCAGGCAGTGGGCCCCGCAGGCTCCCGGCGGGCCCCGGGCAGGCAGTGGGCCCCGCAGGCGGGAGGCCCGGCAGGCTCCTGGCGGACCCCGGGCAGGCAGTGGGCCCCGCAGGCTCCCGGCGGGCCCCGGGCAGGCAGTGGGTCCCGCAGGCTCCCGGCGGGCCCCGGGCAGGCAGCAGGCCCTGCAGGCCAGCGTGTGCACAGCCAGGCTTACCCATAGCCCGCCATGGAGACAGGCCGGGGCCTGGGGCGGGGG